GAGGAGGAGGAGGAGGAGGAGGAGGAGGAGGAGGAGGAGGAGGCTTTGCTACTGAGAGTCAGTCTCACACTTAGGAGAAGTAGAAATTACACAGCATAAAGTAACTAAAGAGGTACCAGAAAGTTCTCTCTATCCTAAAGCAATGCTCTCCTGTGGCTAGCGCCCACATTCCTTGTTTTGAAATAGATACTCTTAGGTGAAGACATTACAGTGTCATCCATCAGAATGAAGTAGTCGACCATTGTCCAGAGACGTGCCAGGAGAATGCTAATGTATTGCGATTGTCTCAATATCCTATCTGGTTGGCACTTGTCCCAGAAAGAGGCCTCCACTTCCCATTAAATCATGGTCACCTTATTATATTGTGAAGAGCTGATGACGTGCTAGACTCTGCCAATCACTGAGCTTTAACTGGATTCAGTTTGTCATCTGCCTTCTGTTCTCAGCTGAGAGCAGTTTGTGGTAAAGAAAGGGGGGCAATCCAAAGACCCCCCCAAACAACTTTTCAATGGCAAGAGAAGGGCAAGTCCCTAAGTGCTGTAAGGACGTGTGAACATCACTCCTTCACCTAGACCATCTGTTCCAAGCGCTCCAGTTCACGGTAGCCCCTTTAATGCAAGGTCTTAACTGGGTTCTGTTCATCCCATGAAATGACGACTTTTGTGGGCTCTCTACATAGGTCAGTAGATAAAGACACCTGCCACCAAGCCTAATCAGTTGATTCTGACCCCAGGGTCCCACATGGTGGACCCTGAGTCCCAGAAATTGTCCTCTGACCACTATATGCAGCTCCCCAACAAATAAATAAATGTAATGAAATGAAATGATGATCTCGGCACAAGAAATTTTTTTCCTGTTACTATTTCTATGAAGTGTAGTTCCAGGTGCATCGAGCTTGAGTTGAGTCTTGGCTCAGGCAAAGGGAGGTCCAAAGAACTTGAGGGAAAAGAACCTATCTGGTTCAGGGGGCAAGCACGAGTTTTCAGTTCATAATCCTGCAGCAGCCATCTTATCGTGGATGCAGAGCAGAGGGTGAGGTGCTAACTCGCTTATTATTTTGTCAGGACAGATGTTAGGGGACTGGAATGATGCTCTGTCAGAACCATCTTCAAAGCGCATTCAGCGGTATCAACCAATCAAAATTCCTCACCTCCCACGCTGGGGACTGAGGCAGGGTTTGTTTTCTGGGATTTGGTTTTCTCTTTTACATTCTGAAACATTAACTTCAAGCAAATAGTATTTCTTCGTGAAATCCTAGAAGCAGAAAAATGCCAGATATTGACTTCCTGAGCTACATGTGTATTCCTCCATCATAAGAAGGAAGGGCACAGGTCTCTAAAGGCCAGGTTCTTACTTTGTGATCCCATGAGAAAGCAAAATTGTGACAACAGAGCACTGACCCAACGAGGTATTCCCCGTCTCCTGATGTTGTTTTATGTTTCCAGTTACTCATTCATCCCAAGAACGTTTTTGCTCCAGGCTCCAGACCAGAAACCCAACCCCATTTTCCCATTAAAAGATTTTTTTCTTTTTCATTCAGGGAAGAAATGACTTTTCTCTGGCTTACTTGGAGGGAACCTTGCTGTTTGGACACATGCTGAAGATATTTCTTGAAAATGGAGAAAATGTCACCTCTTCCAAATTTGCTCGTGCATTCAGGAATCTCACTTTTGAAGGTACTTGGTCTCTTTAAGAGCAAACAACAGGGCTGAAAAGATGGCTCAGAGGTTAAGCACATTGACTGCTCTTTCAGAGATCCTTAGTTCAATCTCCAGCAACCACATGGTGGCTCACAGTCATCTGTATTGAGATCGAATGTTCTCTTCTGGCATGCAAGCATGCATGAGACAGAATACTTTAATAATAAATAAATCTTTAAAAAGAGCAAACAACAATAAAGTTGAAGAAATTCAGACTGCCTGGGCGGGGGTTGTGGGAGACCAAGAGAGGCTTCAGCCTTTGATGCTTCAATTGCTAAAGACCCTGAAAACTCAATTGGAGGAAATGTCATCGCATAAACTTTGCAGGAAGCTGTGATGCATATAACTGGACTTCAGTGTATGCTGCTGACTTGCATACCCGTGGGAGTGTTGCAGAATGGGCATGTAGCTTGCAGGCTGTATTCACAAGCAGCCTTTCACAGAGTACTGTTACGTTATAAGTAGCTGTGCGCTCGCTGCCTGTGCTTGGAGATTAGCAAGAAGAGAAATGCTTGCAATTTATTTTTGTTTTTCAAATTGGCATGCAAAATATAATTGTGTGTTTTAGTACAGTCTCTTCTCCGCTCATCTCCTCTGTCTCCTGGTCTTCCAAACCCACCTTGTGGCCTGTCCCCCAGTCTCCTTTCTGCTCGCATGTCACAGGCTCACTTTTGTCATTTTAGTGGACCTCTTTATATCGTGATATCTCTCCCCCACCTCCCGTGTTAAGCCTCTGTTTTCTAAACCCCTCGTGACAATACCACTCAGTACAGCACGCGCCCCCTCCCCCGCCAGCTGCTGGACTGACAGCCCCATCCTTCATGCATTTCTTGAAACTCCCCTTTCATGTCTCAGGGCTCAGGCAGGGTTTTAAAGAGATTTCAGTGTAAGAAATTATCTTAATCTTGCCCTGGGAAACCTTTCCTGAGCCAATGTGAGCCTCTTTCTGCAAGGCAGAAAATGATTAACCATCTTTCTGAGAGCTGTGCCCGTGGTTTCCACAGGGAGAGGTGGAGACGGTTTCTGCTCCCCCAAAGAAGCAGGGAGAGACATGTACTGATAGCCCATATGTCCTGAGTTCTTCCAGGCACTTATGGAGTCATAGCCATGGTCACAGCCAAGTGTCCCAATGACCACTGTCACAGGCTCAGAGCCAGGAGACATGTATTTGTCCTAGTTCGGTCATTTATCACTCTGCAGCCCTGAGAAAGTTTCTTACTATCTCTGAGTCTCATTAAAGTTATTTCTCATCAATAAGATAGGAATGGTCTCATGGAGAGCAGAAAATGGCAAATGTGTGCGATTCGTTTAGCACAGAGCTAGTGTCTAGCAAACATGAACTAAGTGTTGGATTTAAATTTACATTTATTTACTTGGGGTTGTAAACACATGTGAACATTCATGTGTGCATGCCTCAGGGTGCAGAGGCCACAGGGTGACTTGTGGGAGTTGGGTTTCTCCTTCTACCAGGTAGGGATTGAACTTGGGTTCTCAAAAGCACCCTTCCCACCTGAACGGTCTCGGAGCCCAGATGTTAGCTCTTATGTTGGGCATGTAAACATTTGCCACCTAACCGCATGTTCTGTATGGTCGGTCTACACTGCTATTATTTTGTAGATGGAAAGTTGAGATGTAAACAACTTAAGTGTCTTGTTTCAGTGTTTTAACCAAAGAATGATAGTGAAGCAATTTTGTTCTTTGTGTGTGCTATGCCCCATACACCCGCTGTGCAACTGACTTAATAAATATGCATCATGGACAATCAAGCGATTTATTAACCCACCTTATCCTCAATGAAAGGAAGAGGATTTTCCTTCTAAATGAACATCTCCCATTAAAAAATACCCTTCACAGGGCTGTCTGATAGGAACATCATAGGGTTTGAATCCATTTTATGCTCTCAATCAGGATCGTACTGGTGTCAGGCCTAAAGCCAACCATGTTCTCCAGCATGTTCTCTCTCTCCCTTTAGGCTTTGCTGGACCTGTGACTCTAGATGACAGCGGTGACATTGACAACATAATGTGTCTTCTGTATGTGTCTATGGATACCAGGAAAGTATGTCTGACCCCTTGTTAGAGAATGTGGGGAGATGAGACTGGGTGGAGGATAGTTAACCTGGACCAGGGCCGACACTGAAGGAACTAACAGGATTATGTTGGAAAGCTAAAGGTAGATTATTGTTTGATGTTAGGCATAGGTGCTGCAAGAGAGAGAAGCCCACCAAGATGCTCAGCCTTCACTTTCCAAAGAAGCAGAGGGGTATAGCCTTCTTAGAAAAGACCAACACCCAACTAGCTCCAGTTACTTTATTCAAACATATACAAGGTTAATAGGGGCTGGGAAAGGTTCCAGTTAACAAAGTCATCTTGCTGTTGGTGCCCGTGAGAGCAGACAACCCACATGAATCCCAGCCCCTTTTGATTACGATTAGCCATAATCAAAAAATAAGAACTCCAGGTCTGCCTGGAGGATCTTAGGACCATGGTCGGCGCAGCTGCAAGCTCTCATGTGGCATCAAGTTCAGACTCTTCCAGAGAGACAACGTTTCTTCAAGATTTAAACAGTCTCAGAACAATTTCTCAGCCTCTACTGATTAACCCAAACATAGACAAGGCTTTGTTGAAACATTTCCCTCAAAGACAGATATAACAGACTTACTATACATTTCACTTAAAGCCGGACATAAAGGCTTTATTTACATATCACTACAGTGGATCATTTCAGCTTTCTCAGTTTTTATATTTATATTTCACTTGGCGTAGCATTCCCTAAGTGTGTTAGCCCATAGAACCTTGAGTTAGAAATCAACTTCATATATATATATATATATATATATATATATGTGTGTGTGTGTGTGTGTGTGTGTGTGTGTGTGTGTATACATATATGTGTATATATGTGTGTATGTAGGTATATCATACTAGTTAGTGATGGAGTCAACGAAAAGATAACAAGCTGCTGGCAAGTGTTTGCTAAAGATCATAAATCAGTTTTACAAACTAAAGATTTCGAAGAAATGTCTCTCTCCATCAGCACCGCCACGAAACTTGAGGACCGCATGGTCCCTCAGACAGACACATGAAAGTGCTATGATGCAACCCTTCCACTTACATTACACACCTGTCTTCTTCACGTCTATGTTAGGGCCAGCGCTGAATAGTTTTATGTCCACTTGGCACGAACGATAGTCATCTGAGAGGAGGAAAACCCAATTAAGAGAATGCCCCCGTAAGATCAGGTTGTAAGCAAGCCAGTAGAGCATTTTCTTAATTAGTGATTGACAGGAAGGTACCACCCCTGGGCATTTTGGTTCTGGGTTCCATAAGGAAGCAGGCTGAGCAAGCTATGGTGAATAAGCCAGTAAGCAGCACCCTCCGTGGCCTCTGCATCAGCTCCTGCCTCCAGGTTCCTGCCCAGTTTGAGTTCCGGCTCTGACTTCCTTCAGTGGTGAACAGTGATGATGACGTATAAGCCAAATAAACCCTTTCCTCCCTGAGTTCTTTTGCTCATGGTGCTTCATGCAGCCATGGAAACCCTGAAGAGGACAGCGTCAGAAGGGAAGCAGTGTGTCTACTCCTCTCAGCTGTATCTCCCACACAGAGCTTCCTGTCTGGTACAGAGTTCATGGCCGATCAGCACTGACTGAATTTAAAAAACAAAACAGCTGTCTTTATTCCTTCCAAAGCAGTGCCCATATAAGCTGTGAAAGGCACTGTTTGAGTCAGCTAAGAAGTAGTCAGTGAAAACCTTTTTCCTACAAGAGGTCAGGTCCTGACAAAACTGGTACTCATTTGTAAAATGTTCCAGGGTGGACAGCATGACAAGCGTAAGTCATTCATGAATATATATATTGACATTGCTTTTGAGAGATCCCTACAATGGCAAATGTGAAAATTACAGAAAAGATGTTCACCCTGAGAAATCTCAGGCAGCATTTCATAGAATTCACAGTTTTTGTTACTATTTTGGACCTTTACTGGAATGCTATATTTGAGGCAGCATTATCAGTATCCGCAACAGAAACTCAAGGCTATCCTGTAGTAATGTTTCCATTAGCAGACGAGTTCAAATGAATACTTTAATCACAGAGGCCTAACTAGTGACTGGAAATCATGGCTCACACTTGTAACCCCAGAATTTGGGAGGCTGAGGCAGGGGGATCAAGAGTCAAGACTTGGCTACGATATTGAGATCACACACACACACACACACACACACACACACACACACACACAGAGTCAATCTCATCACAAACTGCTCTAAATGTTTTCATGTTTTTCTTTTCTTTCTTTTTTTTATGCCCCAACACAGTATGAGATTCTTATGGCATATGACACCCATAAGAACAAAACCATCCCAATGGCTACGAACCCCAACTTCATCTGGAAGGACCACAGGCTCCCTAATGACGTTCCTGGGCTGGGTAAGACATCCTTACTGGGTTTTCTTTCCCCAGTGTGGTTTCCATGTAAGCTTTATGGAGTAGCTTGTTTTTCTTTTCTTCTCATCTCATGTAGGCTTTCTGAGCTTGTAAATGTGGGTTTTACAAGCCCAGTGAGTTACATAAATAGAGACACACTGTCATGTAACTAAACCCTGTTGTAAAGATGGATCCCATATAAGCAGGTCCCCTAGAAAACAAAGACACAAGATGGGCAAAATAGAAATAGTCATAGGTATATGTACTGTACTCTGTATGCATTTGAATGCAACAGACTAAAGGAACACTCTCTACATTCCAGCAAGGGATATTTACCCTATCAGGTTGAGAGATAGTTGGTGACCATGGCCCTGAAAGCCACCTCCATTCCTTCACAGGAGATACACAGGTGACAATGATGGCAACACACAGGAGATGAGGTTCTAAAAGCCTTAACATGGTTTGCCCTGCCTGTCTGAACAACACAATGACAATGTGGGACATTAACCCTTCAGCAGGGAGGTCAGGGGGCCTCCACAGACCATAAAATTCAAAGAACATTCTGTCTGTGACTGGCTTGGCCAGTACATCTTTTAGACAATGATCTTAAATTAGGACACACAGTTATACTCAAAGACATGAAAATACCATTAATGGGTTCCTAGAAACTTACGATGTATTCTTAAATTGCACACCATGCAACCAGCTGGAATTGACTCTTTGCAAAGAATTTAAGTGATAGGAAAAGTAGTAACACTGAAGAATAGAAAAATGCAACTCTTTATTTAACAAGACCCTAATTTTGTAGAAATAGAACCAAAAAGAAATACATAAAATTTCAGAATTAGCTACCATTGAGTAACAAGAACCTGAAGGAATTTTTCCCTTTTTCTTATTTCTGAATTTTCAATTCTTTTCCACAATGTTTATATTCATTTGTCACTTTCTAAAGTATTAAAAACTGAGTTAGAAACATTTCCACTCTGGCAGTGCTCTGTGGCCAGGAACTGGAGTTTGATCTGCTTTTAAGGGAGCATCTGATGGGCTTGCTCGTGTTACAACTACAGCTGTCTCAAGTGTCTTTTGCTCTGTGACTCTTGCTAAGTGGAGATGACTGACTTAAAGCTGTAAGGAAGGTGTGTATGTGTGTATGAGGGGGGTACTTCCTAGGGAACAGAAGATAACCCAGAGACCACTGCAGATTTAAACCTGGTTTTAAGCTTTGCACATATTATCCCCAGAGTTGTCTTCATGCTTCCAGGTTTTAAACCAGCACTTCAGCCATCTCTGCCTCTCTGTCCCTGTGTCTCTCTGTCTCTGTCTGTCTCTATTCCTGTTTCTCTCTGTCTCTCCTGCTCTCCCTCCCCCATTCTCCCTCTCTCAGTAGGGGAGAGGGCTCAAGATGGCTCAATGGGCCAAGTGCTTGCCAAGGGACCTGAGGGACACACACACACACACACACACACACACACACACACACACACGCACACACGCACACACAGTGCCCGTCTTAAAAAAAAAAAAAAGCTTCATGCACAGGTGTGCCTCTGTGACCCCAGGGCTGGAGCAGATGGAGGCAGGCAGATGCCAGCCAGCTCCAGGTTCAGGAGAGATTCTGTCTCAAAAATATAGTGGCAGGTGATAGAGGAAGGTATTCAGTGTTGACCTGTGACCTGCACATGAGAGGGGAGAAAGGGAGAGAGAGAATTCTCTAGAGAGAGAGAGAGAGAGAGAGAGAGAGAGAGAGAGAGAGAGGGAGGGAAGTGGAGAGGAAGGGGAGAGGGGGAGAGAGGGGGGAGGGGAGAAGGAGAGGGAGTGGGAGAGTGAGGGGGAGGAATTTATCTTTTTTCACAGGCTCCTGCAATTAAATATGTAAATAGGTAAGAATATATCTGTAAATATAGTTCTGCTATGGACCCAGCACTAATACATACTGTTGATTGGGAGGAGAATGTCACTTCCAGGGGAGCATAGTCAAAGTCAAAGACCATTGTGTTAACATGAGTCCATTTGTTTTTATTCTGTAACTAAAAGCTTCTCCCTCTATTTAAGGCTGGAGTTCCCTCCACCTGTACTGACATGTACATCTTACATTCATTGTAAGAGCCGGCGTGACTATAATAACTGTAGTAGCCACTAGAGGGCAGCAGCAGGTTTGCCTTTGCAGTAGTGCGAGCCTGACTTAACCAAGAAGCAGAGTGAAAACTACAGTTAGCCAGGTGCCATGGCTCGCATCTGTAATCACAGCCTTGGAATTCTGAAGTGGGAAGACTGCCCTGGTGTTGAAGCAATCCTGTGCTACAAAGTGAGTTCCAGGCCAGCCTGGACTACAGAATGCCACCCTGCCTCAACAACAACGAGCCTCTTTAGTTTAAGTAGTCTGCGTTTAAATACCTAATTATGGCAATTATATCCAGCACAGTGAGGTGCTCATTTTGTAGTCAGAGAGGGACTGAAGTGACCTGAGTCCCTCAAACTCATGCTCTGGTATGGAGGTGTATAATTCTACACTGCGGGCATTGTATTTCTTCCACAGGCTTGTTTTGTTGTTGTTGTTGTTTTGTTTTTGTCTTTTGTTTTTTAGTTTTGTTTTGTTTTGCTTTTTGGTGTGGGGCTAGGGGTATGTTACAGTAGGAGTGTGACGGTGGTGGGTATGGGGGCAGTACCCACTGAAGTCATGTACAGAATCCATCCAAAGAAAGATGGCCATGAAGGCCTCAGCCCTAAGGTTTGTCTGCCGAGATGAGAGGAGAAATGAGCAAGGTGATAAGCAAAGCCATGCACTTGCAAAGCAGCCTTCACCAAAACGTGCTCCAGTTTTTGCCTCATGCTAAATCTCTGCTTGGGGGTGTGAGAAGGAGAGGGAGAGAGGGGAGAAGAGAGGAGGGGAGGGGAGGGGAGAGGAGAGGAAAGGAGAGGGGCTTAATATTTGGGCACCTTTTTCTCATCTCAGTAAAATAAGGAAGGACAAACTTATATTCAAATTGTTCATCCACTTAAAATTAATAATTAACTCATGAGGGTTGCAGACGAGCGATAGACACTGGGCTGATGCCCGAAGGATTTTGTGTGTCCTGTTGCCATGTTAGAGACTCCTGGGGGTGGGGGGAGTACGCGCTGCTTTAACGGGAGAATCTATTGTCTCTTTTCCTGGAGTAACATGCACGATTCAGAAGTGAGTGCCTTTTCTTAAACACTTTTCCCTAAGCGCGCTGTCTCTCTCTTCTCTCTTCTCTCTCTCTCTTCTCTCTTCTCTCTCTCCCTTTGCTATGAGAAAAATCATGTCTTCTTAACCATATATGCATTGTCTCCCAGCTTCTTACACACTTTGTCTCTCAACCGAGTCCTTTCACTGAACCCACAGATCTTCCAGCCTAGAGGGGAAGCCCCACTGCTCTTGTGAGCCAGGACCATCCTAGGAGGGTTTGTTGCTGTGGACTTCTCTCTCCGTGCTGTCCCCTTGCGTCCTCAGATGTCCCTCTACCGCTTCCTTGAGTTAGATTCCCATTTCCTGGATTCCACTTACCCTTCTGAAAATCTATGAACTGACGACACCTACTCAGCACACACACACACACACACACACACACACACACACACACACACACACACAAAACAATGGAATCTTTAAATTTGAAGGAAAATGCAAGTAAAATCACATTATCGTCTTCCCTCAATACTCTAGAAAGCTCCGAAAGGAATAGCAAGCAGTGTTGTGGTTTCTTAGAACACGTGCCCTGCATTTGAAAATAGCCACCTTTCTTCCTGCAGAGAACCTCCTTAGGCACACAGGCCTGGAGAATGGTAGGTAGGCTTAGATCCCTCCAAATTGTGTGCGTTGGATACCACTTAATGTTCTTATGACAGCAGAGCTGCATAGCTGTGCCTGTTTCATGTACCTATAACCCTACAATCCTAGCACACTAAAGGGAACTAACTACAAGTGATGCTGCAAGGAATCCTTTGATTGGTTGTTTGCTTCTGTTTTGTTTGTTTGCTTGTTGTTTTGGTTTGGTTTAGGTTTTTCAAGACAGGATGCTTTGTGTAGCCTAGATGGGTCGTGAACTCATAGAGATCCGCCTGCCTCTGCCTCCACGATCTGGCAGGCACCACTACCACCCGGCTAGGTATCCACTTTTCCTGGGCACACACAGCAGCTTTCTTCAGAGCCTGGGAAGGCTGAATGTTTATCACCAATGAAGAGATTAATAAAAGATGAGGAGTTTTCAAAGGGGCTCTTCCTTCCCCTGTCCTCAAAGTACGTGACAGCAGAAGCTTTGGGATGCTTTGGCACCTATGTGTGGTCCTGCTAATGCATTGTCATTGCCTTCCTTCCCACAGGTCCTCAAGTCCTGATGATCGCTGTCTTCACACTTACCGGGATCGTGGTCCTGCTGCTGCTGATAGCTCTCCTGGTGCTGAGGTACCGCCTTCCCACAGGCTTTCCCCCTGTGGGGAGGAGAGAGGGGACAAGTCTGGTGTCCCCTGGCAATGCATGATGCCAAAGGCAGACCCGGGATCTTGAAGGAATTTGCATCAAAATCGGTGTCAAAGGCAGAAGCTGATAAGGGTAGATTAGAATCCCAAATCAAGGGATCTGCCCGTGTGAGGTCTTGTGTGTGCTCAGGAAGATGGCAAACGTGCCGAGTGTCCAGATGTCCACATTATAAGCAGTGTGTGACTAGCTAGCTAATTACAGAGATCCGTTGGTGCGTTGTGAAAGATCATAGACTTGTCGTACAGAATAGTGTGGAGGCTGGAATAAGCTTACAAACCATCCATGTCGAGCCGGGCATTGGTGGCACACACCTTTAATCCCAGAATTAGGGAGGCAGAGGCAGGCAGATCTCTGTGAGTTCAAGGCCAGCCTGGTCTACACAGCGAGTTCCAGGATAGGCTCCAAAGCTACACAGAGAAACCCTGTCTCGAAAAACAAAACAAACAAACAAACAAAAACATCCATGTCACTAGGCTTGGTAGTCCATGTTTGTAATCCCAGGCTAAGGCCAGAGAATGTAAGTTTGAGGCCAACTTGCACGATGCAGTAAGACCCTGTCTCAAACAAATAAGCAAAAACAATAACAACAAAGAAATGGTCTCCTCCAAATGTCAAGTGCATGAGGAAAGAGAAACATAGACTCAGTCCACCAGGTGGTGACAGGAACAGCCCAGGCAGCCTGCTGAGCATCAGAGCCATGGTTTATCTGCATGACTTGGGCACAGCATGTGCCCAACTGGAGACATAGGACTTGTTATTTATCTCTTGACTCTATAGGCATGCCAGCTTCTGCCTGTACACACTAAATAGAATATTCTTTCTCAACTGTGCCATCAGGACATCCTAAACCAAGTAGCAGTTATCTGTATATGTCACACACATTGGGAAAAGTGTCGCTGGACTTTCTCATAATGTAAGTGTCCAGCCTGTAACACGGCTTTCTCTGGAGAGGGGTCAGACTGACTGCTTTGCTCTGAAGACAGAGTTCATGTCCTGAAGCTGTGAGACTCAGAACTCAGGAGACCGTCTACAGGGGGACCATTTAATTTAGTAAGGAAAAAAAAAATAACCCAAATGGGATGACCAACTTTTCTTGGTGGAAAGTTAAGAGATGAAACAGGAGATAGCCAGCCCGGAGGTGGTGGCGCACACCTTTACTAGTCCCAGGACTTGGGAGGCAGAAGCAGGCGGATATCTGTCAGTTCGAGACCAGGCTGGTCTACAAGAGTGAGTTCCAGGACAGCCTCCAAAGCCACAGAGAAACCCTGTCTTGAAAAACAATGACAAAAACAAAAACAACAGCAAAAAACAAAACAGGAGATAGCCGATGCTGTCTCTAGCAGGGGTTCCTAATGGCGTCTCAATAAGGAGGCCTGGCTGACAGCTCTGCTTAGCCCAAGAGTCTCCTGGGCTCAGACATGACAGGCTGGTAGCCTTCGATGTCTTGATCCTCATCCGACACACTCCTCTGCTGAGGGTCTCGGCAGCTGGTCAGTGGCACGCCATTTTACACATACTTAATAAAGAAAATTCAGAGTGAGGTGGAGGCAGAGGGGGAAATTTGAGCATTCTGTTTAGGGGACACTGAGAAGGGAATAGCAAATGACCCTGAGAATGTCCGTCAGAGTTTGGTAAATAACAAAGAAGTAAAGATAAATTCAGGGACACACAAGTAGGTCAACAAAATGACTGAGAAGTGTGACAGGGTGGAATTACAAGCCAGCTGGGACAGTTGACTTTCCATCCAAAAATAAAATCAAAACGGCCAAGTATAATATACAGAGATACAGCCCATTCTGTGTGGAGCTGCAAGTGTTAAGGTCCTACAAGAGAAAACCAAAGTTCAAAAGTTAGAGAGATGGGTACAAGCGGCTTTACGAAGAGTAGTTCTGAGTTGAGATCAAGAAGAAAGTCATAGAAGAAAAATGAGTAACTATGCCAGGACAAAACTAAAATTTTCTATACAACAAATTAAATAGGCAGTGACATAGAAGAAAGTATTTGCTACACAAAAGGAGACAGGATTTGTTGTTTTTTTTTTCATAACATAAATAAATTCATATAAGGGACTGGGGAGATGGCTCAGTGGGCGCATGGAATTGTGTGAGTATGAGGATCTGAGTTCAAATTCCCAAAGCCTGTGTGTGGTAGTTTGGATGGAATAGGCCCCTATAAGCTAATAGGGAGTGGCATTATTAGGAGGTGTGGCTTTGTTGGAGTAGATGTGGTCCTGTTGGAGGAAGTGTGTCACTGTAGAGGTGGGCTGTGAGGTCTCATATGCACTCAAGATACTGCCCAGTGTCTCAAACCACTTCCTGTTGCCTTCTGATCAAGATGCAGCCAGCACCATGTCTGCCTGCATGCCACCATGTCCCACCATGATGATAATGGACTGAACCTCTGAAAATGAAAGCCGCCACCTCAATTAAATGTTTTCCTTATGAGAGTTGCCATGGCCATGGTGTCTTTTCATAGCAATAGAAACCCTAAGACACCATGTAAAGCCAGGGCCAGTGTGTATCTGTGACCCCAGCATTGTCACAGAGAGATGGGAAGGGGAAACAGGAAAAGTCCCAGATGCTCACAGGCCATAACTCGGGGTGCAGAGCACAGCAAGAGCTCCTACCTCAAACAAGTGAAAGTGAGGGTCGGAAGCCAAGGTGGTCCTCCAGTCTCCACAAGCACTCTGTGGTGTACACACGCACACATGAAACACACACACACACACACACACACACACACACACACACAAATAACCAATCTACATATACACTCAGTCACACAATCGCCAACGCACACACACACACACACACACACACACACACACACACCCACACACACACACACACACACACACACACACACACACCAATCCCCACAGACACACACATGCTCACATGCTCTCTTACACATACATTACCCCCACCAATTCATAGACACACACTCACATACGCACATGCTCACACACATAATACACACACTGACACACACACACACACACATCAATCAACATAGACAAGACACACACACACACACACACACACACACACACAAACCAGTTCATACTCATACATACATATACCAATCCACATATATACACACACAGAGAGAGAGATTAAAACCATGTAAGATAATGAAAGACAGGTTACAATAATGAAACTGAGAAAAAAATCACAAATCTATTCAACTCTTTGATGCTATTGATTCTATAATATAGCTGGTGAATTTTTGGAAATACCCTCTCCATAGAAATCAAACAAACAAAATTAAGCAGCAATGAGCCACCATTTTATACATATCATGAATGTTTTAAAATGCTTAACAAGATCAAGAATGTTGGAAATGGGTGTTCTCAGGTTGGGAAATTGGTGCATCATTTTGGAAAAGGATTTCATGGTATCAGTGAAGTTGAAAGTGTGTTTCTCCACTGTAATCCAAGAATGTATCATGTTTAGTACCTGAAGGAAGGAATCAGAAAACTATCTTTGTGTGTTGGGATAAATGCTGAAATAGGACCTCATATAGCTCAAACTGGCCTTGAAATTGCTATGTAGCCAAAGCTGATCTTGAACTCCCCATCTGCCTGTCTCCACCTCCAAGGTGCTGGGCTCCAGGCACGATCCTCTTGGCATGGCCTAACCTTCTTGTTTAAAAGCCAAGGCATGAAAAGGAACTGGGGCATTTAGGAATATAGCGGAAGAATGGTTTCAAATTTTACATTTTTTTGCCTCTCAAGGTTGTCAGGGTTTTGTTTGTTTCTGGTTTTATTGTCTTTCATTCTTTTCATCATCCTTTATTATACCAAATTACTGGCTGAGTGAAGATCTAGGGAGAGTGAAATGAAGAGAATAGAAAAGCCCACAGCAGGTCACTTGGCAGTTGGAAGCTACACCTCAGTCTCTGCTGGCCTTGACAGCAGGGTCAAGGTCCTAACTTTTTCCTAGTTTGTCTGGGAGCCAACTAGAATGGATGCTGTAGTTGGAATGTAATGGCCTCCATAAGCTCATAGGAAGTGGTACTATTAGGAGGGGTGGCTTTGTTGAAGTGGGTATGACCTTGGTGGAGGAAGTGTGTCACTGTGGAAGCAGGCTCTGAGGTCTCATATATGCTCAAGCCACGCCCAGCGTCTCAGTTCACTTCCTGTTGCCTTTGGATTGAGATGTAGAATTCTCAGCTCCTTCTCCAGAACCTCGCCTGCCTGCATGCCTCCATGTCCTACCATGATAACAATGAACTAAACCTCTGACCTGTAAACCACACCAATTAAACGTTTTCCTCTATAAGAGTTGCTATGGTGTCTCTTCGCAGCAATAGAAACCCTAAGACAGATGTTTATCAACACCTCCTGGTGGTTCTCTTCCTTTTACAGAAAATACAGAAGAGATAATGAACTCCGACAGAAAAAATGGTCCCATATTCCTTCTGAAAGCATCTTTCCTCTGGAGACCAACGAGACCAACCATATCAGCCTGAAGGTAAGGCAGGCGTGCCCTACCTGTTGACGAGTATCTGAGAGAACTTTGGTAGCATGTGTGGCCAAGCAAGGACGCTTTGGTTCTTTTGGGAATCCAAGATTTAGATGTTTGCAACTTAACGGAGGAAGGATTATTTTGGCTCATGGTTTCAGGACCTCTTCTGTCTGTGATAGTGGTGGCTTGCTGCATGGCTTGCCCATAAGTCAGCAAAGAGAGAGCAGTCAGACCTGGGAATTTCTGATCTATAAGGATTGCCCCACCCCTTTCCTCCCACCTCTTAAAGGTTCTAGAACATGCCAGAATAATATCACCAGCTGGGCACCAGGTATTCAAACACATGAGCCCATAGGAGGCATTTCACTTTCAAGCCACAACAGTGAGCCAGTCTTCTTTGCATCTGACCTGGAAGAGAAATGCCTGAGGGCTCCTCTCACCCTCATCATGAGGAACTCATCTCCTCATGCTAAGTAGATGTTACATGTTTTGGTCATTGCTGAAGAGGCCTCTGCTGAAATTTGTCTAGAAGTACAAATGGTGGCCAGTGTGAACATCTCACCCACATTTACTGCAGCCAGGAATGCAAAGTCCCCCAAAAGAGCCTCTAATTCAGCTTTATTGTCATGTCTGCTGACGACTCTGAAAGACAAAGGATTGAGAAGCTGTGTAGAGTCACATATAGTAAGGTATGATAGATAGATGATAGATAAATAGATAGATAGATAGATAGATAGATAGATAGATAGATAGATAGATAGATGATAGACAGATAGATGGTAGATAGACATAGATAGATAGATGATGATGATGATGATAGATAGATAGATAGATAGATAGATAGATAGATAGATAGATAGATAGACAGATAGATAGACAGATAGGTAGATAGATGTCTATAAGCTCTTACTGAGAACTTTTATGCCAGGTGCATTTTACTCTGTTTCATCTCCTGAGCCCATCAGGTAACAGGTCTGGAATTCCAGAAATGTGTCTACAGTTTGAATCCAAATTAATTGTAGACTTGAAGATCTTGCCTCCTGACACATACCACAGAATTATCAGTGTTTCTATACTAAAGCACAGAGATGAAGTTCAGGGAAGAGCTGACAGGCAGGTGTAAAATCACATTAGGCTTTGGAGCTTCCTTGCCAGCAATGTGATCACATCTCACCACACACAGGAAGCAGAGAGAGAGAGAACAGGAAGTGGTGACAAACTTTATAGGTATTCCATCTCCACATCCTGCTCGCTGCCTTCTGGTGATTTGGACCTACTCACAGCAGTACAGGGTGGCATGTTCCTTTGGCCTAGACTTGCTTCACGCCCCAGCATCCCTCCTTCCTGTAGTCTTCCAGACCTCATACATAAAAACTCTATTCCCCAAGTCTGATCTGCCTCTGGCGAGTGTCAGAATGAGATCCATGTCCAGTATTTTACAGTGAATAGTAAATGACCTTAATGCAACCGGGTTTCCAAAGGCCAAGTTTAGTGGCTTCAATTACTGAATTGGTTCACACAGAGTCACAAGAAAAGCTTTGGACATATTAAATTCTTAGGTGATAGTTACCAACATTTAACCCTCAAGTGAGCCATTTATAAAATGAAAACTACAAGGAAGAGAGAAGGAGGAAGAAGACAAAGAAGGAAATAAGGGGAGGAGGAGAAGGAGGAGAGAAAGAGTCAGGGAGCAGGAGAGGAAGAGGAGGAACAGGAAGCCTCAACTACGGATACCAAGCAAGGGTTACTACTGTAGCTCCAAGGTTCTTAAAAAAAAAAAAAAAAAAAAAAAAGACTTAGTTACATGCCCCTGACCAGCAAGGACCTGGGATCAAGTCAAATGTGCCTGCCTGTGGGATTGTTCGGGAGAGTGTATAGGGAGAGGAGAGAGGCTGTTTGCTGGGTGGCTGAGCAGGTGCCCTGCACACCATGCCTCTTTGCAAAGCTCATGTTTCCATGGGGGATGGGCAGCTGTTTTGCTACACAAAGGCAATTTGAGACTCTGAGGTTAAAAATCACCTCCGGAAGAGGCTACCTCCTTCTGTACACGTGCGTGCTGAACAGTTCATACCAGGGTCCCCGAGTGGATGCTGGGGGCTTTCCCCCAAAATCAATTGTAAAACTTGGATATTTGGGTGAGGATTCTCTATCCAGACCATGGCCCATTTCTGCATTTATTAATAGGTGGTGTACCAGTGGTCACCCTTGGAAGTTGATCAAAGCATTTCAGTTACAGTTCAGGATAACCTCAAGCATTTAGCAAGGATGATAATTTACCTGTCCTAGCTAGGGTTACTATTGTTATGACGAAACACCATGACCACAAGCAACTTGGGGAGAAAAGGGTTCATCTGGCTATGCTTCCATGTCATCGTCCATCATTGAAGGAAACCAGGATAGGAACTCTAGCAGGGCAGGAACCTGGAGGCAGGAGCTGATGCAGAGGCCGTGGAGGAGTGTTGCTTACTGGCTTGCTCTCCATACCTTATTACAACCTGACTTCTTATACAACCCAGGACCACTGGCCTTCCCTGTCAACCACTGATGAAGGAAATGTCCTGCAGTCCTGCCTACAGGTGGGAAATGCACAGGCACTTGCACAGGAGGGGCCAGCCTTCCCAGAAGGTGACTTTAGCCTCATAATCCCAAATGCCCTTTGCAGAACACGAGAGCTGCCCTCTCCCAAAGGAAACATGAGACTTGCACAGAGCTATGGTGTCTGCTATCCTAAACTCTGCTTCCTTTACCACTCAGCTAGCACTGTGGGGGGAAAATAGGGGCATTTTTCTCGACCGAGGCTCCCTCTTCTCAAATGACTACAGCTTGTGTCAAGCTGACATAAAACCAGCCAGCACAATTGAGCCGTTGTCAAGCTGACACACAAACACGTCGCTATTAAGCCATAACCTTTCTTTTCCTGTTATCCCTAAGGCCACATGTTGATACCAACATCATAACACAGAATATTTCACAAACTGAAAATTTTAAACACTTTAAACGTTGTCTTTTTTAAAAATATGCAGTGTCTATAAAATCCCCAAATCTTTCTCTCTCTTTTTAAGTTTAACGTCTCTCTACTGTGGGCTCCTGTAAAATCAAGAACAATTAATTACTTTCTTACTTCAAGAAGGAAGAACCAGGGCACAGTCACAGTCTGAATAAAGCAAAACCACACTTCAAGTGTAAATAACTCAATGTCCAATGTCTCTTCTTCACTCATAGTCTTCTGGGCTCCTCCAAGGGGCTTGGGCCCGTCTCTAGCTTCATTCTCTAAAGCACGCAGTTTGTCTTCTAAGCTCAGGTCTGCTCCACTCCACCTCTGCTGCTGTTCTTGGTGGTCATCCCATGGTACCGGCATCTCCAAAATGCTTGGAGCCTTTGGCATCTGGCAGGAGATGACATAGGCCAAAGTTTCCAACAGGAGGAAAAATCAGATGGGCAGGAAGCAAAGAGAATTCTGGGCACTCATAGATCCATGCCAGGGAGGAAAGAAAACCCAGAGCCATGAGGGGGCAGACACTTGGAGGGAAGGGAGGTGATCAGAAGG